TGTACATAAGTAACAAATATAACGTGAGCTCTAAAACCCAATAAAACTGTTGTACTTTTTAGAACTTACCAGTTTAAGTAAGTCAAATATAGAGAAGCACAAATATAAAGTTAAGTTAAAAAAAACTATAGGAAAATTTTTGATATATACACATGAAAAGAATTATGTATAAAATGAATAAATATATATATAACAGTTTTATACAATAGTAAATTTTTTTATACGTCGCACAGATTACACAGGGTAGTTTTGTAACAAAATTTTGATATAGTGGCAAAATTTATGGAAGACAATATTAAATTCTTTTAAGGTCATACCATAGGGATAACTTTAAGTAAGTATATAGCGAATACTCAAGTACGCGTGATGCTTCATGATTTGGACCAGAGAATTTGTGCTATCTTATTTTATCAAACATTTCAACTTATAGTGGGCTCAAATTCGGTTTTCAAATAGTGCGCTTCTGCGATATTTCTCCAGGCGGAAACAGATTTAAGAATATTTTGAAGCTTTGTACGTTGCGTTCTCTTGATTTCTTTGTTGTCAATCGGTTTTATTGTTATAATTTTTGCTTATTCACAATTAAAATTTGTCATTTTTAAAAACGTCATAATTAAAAATTTAATTTAACTCTGTTTATCAAAAATGGTCCTGTATATAATACAAAATATCATAAAAAAGGAAATATGGATACAGTTTTAATACTCCAAACTTAGAAAACATCTTTGACATTTAAGGTGTTTTTTGAGTAGTATGGTAATAGTATGTAAATATGTAATAAAGAAACGTAAAAATTTCAAATCAAAAAATATATTATTCATATATTTATGTATTAAAGCACAGTATGTGTATAACAGTTTATAATAATATTCAAAACATATACAAATACAGTACTACACTGCGTTTGTATTTCAAAATGAAAATTAAAAACTTAAGGTTAATAACAACGTTAACGAAAAAAGAAAAAAATTAACGAAAAACTTAGAAATTTGAAATCATTTTGTTTGAACAGGACTCAAATATAACAACAATAATTTTGAAAGAGTATATGGAGAGTTTTTAATTCAAAAATTATTTAATATAATGCACAAATAGCAAACTCACATGTGAATATAAAGACACGTAGTTCAATTAATATGCGAGTATACCAAAATTTAAATTTTATAACAATCTTAAATAGAAGTTTTTCGTCATTTATAAATTTTTAATACCAAATTTTCTATGGAGATCGAATTAAATTTTTTGAATGTAATTTGTGTGTGTATGTGTGTCCATATTAACTTTATCCAGCACCATTTTAAATAATACAAAATTTCGCATGTATACACATATGGATGTTTGAGTGTATATATTCTTAATCTCATTCTTATTTTGATCATTTTCCACATTTTATGTTAAGATTAGATACTCACTTTGTATAAATGGTAAGTATAGGGACATCTGAAAAAAATTCCTTTTTCTTTTGTCCTTTCTAACTTGAGAATTTATTTAGTGTGTTCAGTGTTGATTATTAAAATTTTTCTCTTCTTCTTCTTCTTCTTCTCATTCTGTTTTTTTGTCTTTCCACTTGCTTTGTTTGCTTTGTTTTCTTGTTTTTGCAATATAAATAAGTATGTATTTGAATTGGTCCTTAATGTCCGGAACAAATTCGTTTTTTTTTTGTTATACACACAGATACAAGTGCAATTTACTTTTATTTATATTTTATTTTTATTATTATTATTATTTCAGTTTTTTTTTTCAATTTCATATTTTCTGTTATTGTATTTTTTTTTCAATAATTCTTGTGCTGCCAGAAAGACATTTAAAAATCTTGTACTAATTTAATAAATTTTTTTTGAAATAAAGTAAACTGCTTTTTCATTTTGATGATCTTTTAATTATTAATATTTAAACTGTTGTAAATTTTCTTACACAGGTCATTTAATTGAACGAAAGTATACCCTCTTTAATATGAGATCCTATACAGTAATAATTAAATCGACGATTTGCAAGAAAGCATGCTTCGTTGATTCTCTAGCTCAAATGGGGCCCGCAAAGACATTCAAAAAGGGCCCAATTCGGACAAATTTTTCATATCAAAATAGCAGACTTCTTTTAATTATTAACAATTTCATAAATTATTTTCATTCAACTGCAAAAGGTATTTTTTTTAACAAATTTTTATATACAGCTGATTATAAAACTCACATGTGTACAAATTTTAACATATTTCTAGTTTATATTATTAATTTTTTTTGATTAATAACAGAAAAAAATTAATAAATTAAAGATAAATTACATTTTCGTGTGTCATTAATTAGGATCAAATTCATTTTGAATAAATTGTAAAATCTGATTTTGAATATTCATGAAACTCATATTTTCTGCATAGGGTTGAACGCATTTCTTTTTTTTTTGTTATAAGGACTCTTAAATATTTTAATATTACATTTATTTATTTACTCATTTCAATTATAAGTATTGAATAGTTAGAGGATTAAAATAAAGACACACACGCATTCATTGTTCTACATTTCATATCCGATTATTTATGATATGTTTTTAAGTTTTTGACATAACCAGATTAAGAAAATAAGTCCTTTGAAATTCTTGGAGAATTCTGTTAAAATCGAAAGTATTAGATACGCATCTGTTTATTTACATATAATGTGCCAACATTTTTGATTGTTGAAAATATTTTTTATAATACAAACATAATGAATTTTGAATACAAACTTGTCGGTTCAAAGGGACATAAAACAGTGAAAGAATATATTCATGAAACCCACTAGAGCCCGGTGATACTAAGAATAATTGTTATTGCCCGGTGATTGTTAAGAAAAATTTCACTATGGTTTAAAAACAAAAAATGGCATGACTAGCTTGCAAAAGCAACCGACTTGAGCAATATACATGATCGACATGCATGACCAACTTGCATGACCAACATGCATGATCAACTTGCATGGCCAACTTGTGTAACCAACTCGCATGACCAATTTGTACGACGAATTGGCATGTCCAATTTACTGACCAATTTGCATGACCAACATGTATGATTTACTTGCATGTTCAGCCCTTAATTAAAATTTGGTTGGAATTCTTCAATTAAGTTCGTAACCGTAAGATAGATGGGGATAACATATATGTAATAATGGGAACGGATTAACATTAAGGAAAAATTATCTACTTGGAATTATATCAGGCAAACTTTTGTCATCAAACATTATTCATAGATTTTATTTAATGAAAATTGGATGGCTTTCTCCTTTTCCTATCAAATAAAATTAGTTAATACATATAATTCTAATCAAAACAAACAAAACTCACGACTAAATTTGATATAATATGGAAACTTAACTTAAATCCCGAATTCAACACTGTCATGACAATATCTGATATTTAAATAGGCAAAAAAACAATAATTAGCAAATATGTTATTGAAATTTTCTAACTTAATTGAAATCTTTATTTTATTTTCTTAAAATTCCTGTTCATTTCAGCAAATTAATACAAAATAATTACAAAAAGAAAAGAAATTTTCTTTTTTCAAAAAAAAAATTATCATTGACCCGCATCCAGAAAAAAAATTAAAATTATTCTCTTCATACAAAATTTATAACACAAAAAAAAAAAAAAAACAAGACCAACAACACAATTATTATTTAAAACAGCTTGAAGAAAAAAGTAAATATTTTTTCCAATAATGAATTTAATCGAAACATTCACATTCATTAATAATCGATCTTACATTCTTATATCAATGTTATTTCTTTTCAAATACGAACACATACAGATCTACTATAGCTCTATATACACACATTGAATATTTTATAGAGAACATACTATAGTAATATAATAATTTCATATAAATTGCATTTATACATATATATATATATACATATATATATATATATACATATTTGTAAGAAAATATTTATAATATTATAATCAAGATAAACACAGTATTACCTTACCACCTCTTATTACGAAAAAAAAACAAAAAATACAGCACAACAATTCAATATAACCTTAAATATATATATATATATATATATATATATAGTAGATGATATGTATATATTTAAGGTTATACTGAGAAGAAGAAAAAGAAATTTAAAATCATATGAAACTTTTCAACAATAATAATATACAAAAAGAAAATACAATATACAAACCTATTAACAAAAAATATCATGGACAATTTATTAATTTATATATAAATTAAATATATTTATAACGTATATATATAATATATACATATATATCATGCAAATAAATATGATATATACATATATATCATACATATATCAGAGCAAAAAAAAAAAAGTAATGTAAAAAAAAAAATATTAAATAATTTTCTTTTACTGTTTTATAGTGCAGTTTTGTTCTCTTTATGATCGTACTTTTTTTTCATTTTTTTTTGGCATTTTCCATTTTGGAACAAAGTTTATTTTTCAAGAAGACCTGGGCATTTAAAAAATGTAAAAAAAAACAAATGAACATTTAAATTGAGTTTTTCTTTTCTCTTGTTTTCTTTTTTCTTACTTTTATATCATTTTATAGCAACAACATTATTTGTATAACCGAACACATATACATACATATATAACATTTTATAAAATCTTTCTATATACATACTTATATTTTGTCCTTTTTTCGTCATCATCATCTTTCGTTCGTACATACATTTTATTATGTGGCACATAGAAAGAAACAAAAATTCTCTATACATACGAGTGTATAAAAAAAAATTTTTTGGTTCTCCGGTTCTCTACTCAATTTATTTATTTTATAATAAATATGTACATAACATATATATGTGATATAATATTAATATATATATATATATATATATGTGATACTAAATAATGAAAATAATGAAAAAAAAAAGTATCCTAAAAGCTTTGAGGTCCTTAATATAACACACTGTGTCGCACCTATATTACAAACAGACCAAAAACTTTCTCTACTCAATATACAAGCTTTCACAAAATTTAAGTCAGTTTAGAATCAGACCCGTAGAGTAATAGACCATAAACTGAAAATACAAAAGATCACACAATATCAAGAAAATCAAAAAAAAAAAAAAAACTATTTAAAAAAATTTAAAGGACACACAAGAAAAAAAATGGAAAATTTCAAAGTGATTTTTTTTTTAAGTGTGCTAAACTAAGAAACTAATCGAAAAATAATAAAAAATAAAGAAACTTTCTTAACACTAGAACAAAAAAAGAAAAAGAGGAAAAGAAAAACACTTTTTTAATAATTTCAACAAAAAAAAAATCTAATACACACATTTAGGGAATTCATTTTTTATACAATTTTTAATAATAGAAAAAAGTAAAAAAACAAAAAAAAATTTTAATTTCTATAAAAGTATGAAAAATTTTCAATTTAAAAACCAAAAATGATTTAAAACATTTTGAAAAAAAAAAATTGTGATTTTTTTTTTTCCTTTAAAAAAAATTTTTTTTCAATTTTCTTACTTTTAATTTTTTTCAATATACGCGAAAAAAAAATTATGTATCTACATGCAAATTTCTACATTTATTTTTTTCCTCTTTGGTTCTTTCTCCTCCTTTTAATGTACACCAAAAAAAAAAAAAAATGTATAGAGAAAGAAAGGAACCTAATCCATTAAATTTCCTTAAAAATATCACAAAAAAGCTTAGCGCAAGCTCAAATTCTATTTTTTTCCCTTTTTATTTTTTTTTGTCCTGTTTTCCTTTTTTTCTTTCTTTCTTTAACATTTTTTTTTTCATATTTCATTGTACGTGAAATCCGTGTATATTTTCAACGATTTAACAATATTTTGTTAACAGTTTATACAAAACCACACATACATACACATATTGGATCATAATATATATATGAAATGGAATAATAATAATATATTTGCACTACGACTATATTTGGATATATATATAAATAGATATATATCATAACTTATATACAAATAAATACAAAAAAAAATATTCTCTTCTGTACTAATCAAGTGTTATACAAAAAGAAAAAGGTTCAAGTCAAAAAGGTGGCTGCTTTTGTTGCTGCTTCTGCTTATGCTACTGCTCCTCTGCTGTTAAACATTTAAAACTTTATCCTTGTATTATTACACCGATTTTGTTTTGTTTTTTTTTCTGTTTTTTTTTTGTTAAGTGTAAATTTAAGTATGTATACCTAAGGTATCTTTATACACATATATATACGTGTATTCCTTTACAGATTTATAATTACAAATTATATGCAAAAAAGAAACAAAAAAAAATAAAATAAATATAAAAGGAAAAAAAATTATTAAAAATTACACTTAAATATTACGTTAAATTTTTCTTTTATAAAAAAAAAAATTATTGTTGGTATATATTAGTATATATGTATATATCATATGAAATTGTGTGATATATATAATTACAACAAAATTAAATAATATATTGTTTATAAATATTCATTATTTATACTTGAATATATATATATATATATGTATATACAATATATATATACATATATTAGAAGGATGATAAACATTTTATTACAGCATACTTTACATACCTAAAAAAAAACAAAAAAATGTGATATATATTGAATTTTGTATACGTAAATTTACTTGAATGCTTCTACAAAAAAAAATAATTATTTATTATTTCTATATATATATATATACACATAAATTAATTTTAAATTAAAATTAGCTTTTCATATATCTGCAATTTAAATCACATTCAACAAAAAAATTGTATATAAATGCAAAAAATATTAAAAAAGTATACACAAAAAAGGGAACTTATGTATATATATATATATATATATATATACGAAGATATATCTATATATATATATCTATACAAGATTTATATATATGAATATATAGTATGTGTATATATATATATATATGTGCTAATACAATATAATATAATAGATGTGCCATTGCAAAACACATGTGTGTATTTAAATGAAATATATATATTTATATATACACATATATATATATCACATATTTAATATATAAACACACTATATACATTCATATATTCATGTAAAACGAAGTATCAGTATTCTAAGCTTAAAAAACATATTGTAATAAAGTAAAATTTGAACTTAGTAAATATTGATAAAATATTTAATACATTGCTTACGCATACATAATGTATAAAATATGTACATATATTTATAATTCTCAATATGCAATATAATGGGATATAGGTATATCTATTCACATATGATATATACGTATATATATAATTGTTACATATGATATTCTTTATTACATATTTATATACACACATATGTACATTTATAGTTCCAATTTTATTTTTTGAATTGTGTGTGTGTGTATATTTTCGGAAAATTTTATATTTTCATTCCTTATTTTCTATTCTAGTTTTTGAAAATTGAATTTTTTTGTAAAATAGCGTACTTTTTGGATTATCAATTTAATTTCACATGTATATTGTATTTACAATGTGTGAAGATTACATTATGTGGAAAATCCTTTATATCAACTATACCAAGTTATAACATATTAAATGTTAAGGATATTAAGGATATTTTTATAAATACCTTCATTCGAATAATTACATATCATTTTATATTAAACTACATTCTTAAATTTTCTTAATAAATCTAAAAAGTTTGCTGACCTCAAGTTATATTTTTAAAATTAAAAATTTTAAATCTATCACAGATTTTATATTAAAAATTGTGCTCAAAGAACAAATTTACAATTCTATACCGTAGAAATCTAATAAATTTATAATTAATATTATCTATTAATTTTTAATTTATACAATTAAATCCGAAATTTTTAATATATAAATAAAAGTAGCTTTATTTTCAACAATCCACTTTTAATGACCAGTATTACTGCATTTTGGAATTCAAGGACGTTTTTCAATTTAAAAGTGAAAACTTTCATTTAAAACTCAAAAGTTTTATTAGAAATTTTAATATTCGATTAATTCGTTTAATTAATTTTTTTTATTAATGAAAAACTAAAATTAATTATTATTGAAATTTTTTATACAAAATAAACGTCATCATATAAAGACAACTTAAATTTATCTTTACTACCCCTATTTGACATTTTCATATAAATCGTTTATTTATACAAATCGATTAATATTAATCAAAGATTTTTGTAAATTAATTGGGAAGCCAAGTCTTTTAAATTTTTGATTTTGTTTTTCTACTTTTCCTTGAACAAATGCCATATTTATACAAATTTATTATAAATTACGTACGGCTATGTATACAATTTCTATATAATATTTTACTGAAGACGTACTTAATTGACATAGTATACATAAAGTGAAAAGAAATTCAAGGCAAAATTAAGAAGGATGCGAAAATTTTTCTATTAAATCTTTTAAATTTTTCAATTTTTTTAAAATTTTAATAGTATAACAGTATTAAAATACAATTGTAAAATAAAAATAAAAAAAAATTTAATTGAAATTTAAAAAATTTAATAAAAATTTTTTTATTCTCTCTTCTCTCATATTACAATTTATAAACCTTCTCTAAATTTACACCAAAATCAAAAAAATATGAAATTAGGGAAAAAAAGGCTAACGAAAGCATTAGAAATTTGATATACACCGAAAAAGAAAAGAAAGTATAAAAAAAAACCTTTGCTTCTTTTTTGGTTTTCTTTTGTATACGAGTACTACATATTAACAATTTTTTTTTTTCTTTATTAAAGCCCATTTGAAAATTTCAAAGAAATTAGTAGATTGTAACGGGTATAACAAAAAATTTGTTAAGTTCTCTTATACTATTATACATACATCTGAAAATATATTGAGCTTTTTTTTAACAACCCAAACACTAATACATTAACAAAATTTACATTTATATTTTATAATTTATAATTTTTTACATACATACATACATATTTATAAAAATATTCCAAGTATACATATAATTTGTGTACATTAAAAGGAGATTTTATTATTATATTAGAAAGGATATTTTTTTTTTTTGCAAAAAGTTTTTTCTTTGTCCCGCCCAGATTTTTCCCAGTCGTTTAGAATATTTTTAACAGAAATGTACTAAAATAATATTTTTGCATAGCAAAATATTTTTTCATAAATTCTTGAAAATTAAAAATTTTTTTATTATTTAATAAAAATGTGAATGATGTTGATTGGGATTAAAATTACAAGTTATTCTACTACATGACCGTGCAATTGGGAAACACTTAAATTACAATATTTTTTTCCTTGTTTCTTCTTTGCAGCTTAAGTTCATCAGTTCTTTAAATAAAATAGATAAATGGAAATTTTATTAAAAAAAAATTAATGAAATAAATTTTAATAAAATTACAATTAGAATGTAAAATAAAACAAAAAGAAATAAAAGTGAAGAAAAATATAAAAAAAACGCAACAATGACAATTAAATTAAAAAAAATACATTGAAAATAATAACAAAAAAAAAATACATTTTTATACTACGCTCTAATTTAAAATAACATTTTAGATAAAAAATTGTAACTTAAAAAATACACGCATACACACACACAAATACATGTAAAATATACCACATAATCTCTAAGTCAAAACATAAAAAGAAATGTTAAAAATCTGTGTTAATCTTTAAATATAAATACATAAAAAAAATTATGAATAAGAAGAAATAAAACGTACACACTTACACACAAACTAAAACAAAAGAAATACCTAAAAAAAATAACATAAAATAATAAAAAAATACCATAAAATTACAAAAATAGCTAAAAATGATGTCCAAAATTTTTTTAATAAAATTAAATAATAAATTTATAAATTTTAATTTTAAACAATGCAAACGGTGAAATGAACTCTTTTAAATTAAATCAAACGACAATTGGGTGACAAATAATTCAAAATATTATAAATTTGTGTTTTTGTCATTTAATAAACTGATAATGCACTATAAAACGTAGTCAACTGCTGTCGTTGTCGTCGTCGCAGTCGTTGCCACTTACGTCTTTGTCGTCGACATCGACCACTTTTTTTTTTTTAATTTTCGAAAAATAAATCAAAAAAAAAAAGTAAAGACAAAGTAAGACAAAAAAATTGATAGTAAAAAAAATTATTTAATTCGATTGTTCCAAAAAAAAACAAAAAAAAATGAAGTTAAATTGTGACTAAAATGAATAAAAAAAATGTCCTAGTTCTAAATTTTTAATCAAGCAGAAACGAAAAACAATAAAACTAAAATCTAAGAAATTAAAACAATTAAATTTTACATATAAAATATTAGAGAAAGCAAAGTAAAATTAATATCAAGGGTGCTGCAACGAAATTGAAAGAAAAATAAAGTAAATAATTAATTATTTTTTACCATAAAATTTCAAAATTCTATAGTTTATTAACAGAAACTAAAATTTTAACAAAAACATTTAGCAAAACCTTAAAGCTTGCATATAAGTACGTTTAGTATTCAAAACCAAAAAACCTGTGTTTGCTATAATTTTAATTTGTGCAAGAGACTAATGGGCTTTATCACAGACCTCGTCACATATATATGTGAGCATCCCAGAAAAATGAGATGTTGGTGACATCTCTGCAAGCAATTGAATTATACAATGTGTTTTTCATTTTTAAATTTTCAAGAATCTTAAGAACTGCTCTGTGATTCAAAAGAAGCCTACTCATAACTTACAAAATCTATAACATAAAAATTAAGCAAAATCTGCACTGTGCATGTACCTCTGTACTGAATTCGTTTTTCCGAATCTGACTAACTTCCAAAAAATTTCTCGAAACAAATATTGTAGACCTCGTTAAAATCATTCAATCAATAGCTCCGGATATGGGCCCATTTATCAACTTTCAATTTTAGTGGAACATTGCTTCCGAAAAAGTATCAGAAAGACCCCGTTGATCAGAAAGTTGTTTAGACAGAATCAGAAAGACCCGGTTTCTGAATAATTTTGAAAAGGAGCCATGGTGATCCAATGACCGATTTGTTAGTGAGGAGCGATCACAAAATTTTGATTACATTTTTATATAGCTATATAGAGATTTTAATTCGAAATGTCTCACAAAATTTATTTTACATGAAAAGGAATTGTGTCTATTATTAAAATCAATAAATTTCTCACCCCCACAAATTTTTCAAGTAAAATTTAAATTTTTTTTTCTTAACTCAAAATTTATAATAAAATGTGCAAAGTCTTAAAAATACAAAAAATGTAATTGTAAAAGCAAAATTCGAAATTTATTAATTTTAATAAATTCAATTTAAAATCTTAAGCCCAATCTTTATAAAATTAAAACGTACGTATGTGCATACCATAACATTAATACACACACTCATACATGTAATACATAAAACGTTTTTAAAAAAGAGAACTAATTTATTCTGTTTTTCATATGAAAAATAAAGCAGAGAACAAAAAATCCTATGAACCAAAATACAAACCAAAAACGATGATAACACAACTAAAAGGATTACTAAAGCGATAACATACATTAAATTTAACAACAACAAAAAAAAGGATTTTTCGTTTTATTGTAAGCAACTTATAGTTTCAACGTAACATATGTGTAATTAATAAAAAAATAACAAAAACAACAAAACTAAAATATAAAAACAAAAAAATAATAATAATATAAAAAATCAAACATTCAAAAAATAAAAGAAAAAAAAAAGCAAGTTTTTAAAATATTTTTAGTTATAGAGTAAAATTACAATTACAAATATAATTATAAAAAAAACAACGGATCGTTAACTTATTCAGTATATATGCGTATATTTATATATATATTTATATATATGTATTTACACATATGTATATGTATATATAAATAAAATAATATAATATTAAATATTATATTTTACACACATACATAAACATATTATATTAATATAAACATATATGCATACATATAATATATATACACATAACTTATATATATAGATATATAAATATTTATATATATATATATACATAATATAGATATAATAGAAATTAGAAAATAATAAATAATTAAAAAAAAATAACAAAAAACAAAAAAAAAATACCACACAAAATGTTGTTCCATTATGAAAACTATTTAACGCTGCCATCACTTATACCTAAGGCTCAACTAATAACAGTATGGCTGGCATTTAATATTGCCTTCTATTTACAAGAACCAACAAAAAAATTAGCCGCTGTAGATGCAGCGTAAGTATTTGCTTTTCTTTTATAAAATATCTTTTTATTTTAATTTAATATGCACTAAGTCCTTGAGATACGACACTTTTGGTTCCAGAAATTTATGTCGTAATTCAAACTGTCGTATTAGAAGATGTCGTATCTCGAGGACTTAGTGTACAATATCCAATTTAGTGTAATAAGTTTATAAAATTTAGAACAATGCTGGCATGTAATTCGTAAAAATAATTAAACAAAAAATTCAAAATGTATAAAATCAAAAAAAAAATCTATTCCTAATAAATTTTATAGAAAATTGGTCGATAATTTCTCTTTATAGACGCAAAAATGTAAAATTGGCTCGCAGAAAGGTCCAGTTCCCGAGATCTGATATATCCCAAAAGTTGATCAAGCCCATACACATAAAAATTCATCAAAATCGGTTCAACCGAACTTGAGATACACGTGTAAACACACACAGATCGACAGACCGACGTCTCTTGAAAAATACTTTATTTACGCTTTCCTACTATGTAGAAGTGCGTTTCCCAAAACCTCATTTGTTGTATGCAATGCGGTCGCTAAAAATATAATGAAATCCAAACAATAATCGAGTGAATATTTGATTATTTTATACCTGTCTCTTTTTCTCTTTCTTCAAATATTATTCTCTTTTATAGTAAAAACCATTACAAATTTAATTGGGATTTTATTTATATTTTAACAAATTTTACTATTTTGTTGAATATTTTAAAAACATTTTAAAGCTCTACCTTTCTAGCCTTTAAATTTTAATTTTTTTTTTTAACTATGAAATAAAATTTTTACTCTTTATAGATAAAAATAATTTCACTCTGAATATCTATTTAACTTTGTTCACCCGCTGATTTACGTCACACTCAGATGTGATATACTCAGAGGAACTTGATTATCTAATAATAATTTTTCTGAAGCTTTAATTATAAAAAGAAGAGTAACTCAATATGAAAGAAAATATGTAATAAACATTTTGTGAACAAGTTAATATTCATTTGTACATATACATACATAATATGTATAACTTTGTTATAACAATTGCTAATATAATGTTTACATTGAACAAATATTTCATTGTATATTTGCTATAATACGAGTATATAAAAGTTATAATGAAATTCACAATGGATATAATAATGTAATTTGTGGTACGTCAAAATATAAAAGAAAATTCAAGAGGAAAAAGCAACACTATATGAAAAGAACCCTTAGATTTCAAGTTGAGAGTACTTGATTCACTTGTTATATCTAATATTAGTATTTTTTATATACCAAACGAATTGCATATAATTTGTAGTACGGTATTGTAATCGCATCAAGTTCATATTTTAGTTTTAATAGAAATGTAGTTTTTCGTTTTGGATGAAGTGCAACAATAGGGGGCTGTATTAAGTAATTTAAGTTCAATTTCAAGACTGTTATGACATTTTATACCAAGACTCATTGACAATTTTTTGGTTTTTTACATTTTAATAGAGCCCTTAAAATCTTGACATAGAACTGGTTTTCGTGCTATATCTTCTGCATCATAAAAGATTTGTCAGCACTTAGTGAGTAAAATTAAAGTTTGAGAAAGTGGCCAAAATTCTGTAAAAAAAAATTCAAATTTTCAAAAAATTTCGAACGAAATTACCTGGTTAGAAAAAAATTAAAAAATAAAAAAAGGGAAAAATTTGATTTTTCCTAAAGTTCGAATGATTGGTATTCCGAAAGTTCACAAAATACATAATCACGGAAGGTATTTGTTTTAAGCCCTTCACTAGATCTTTCAGAAACTGTTTGTTTGAATCCCCTATCTTTTTCGAACTCTTTTTTATAACTAAAAATTTCGTGATAATTCGTTAAAATACCTGTATCTCGCAAACTCTTGAGATTTCGCACCTAATCCAGAACAAAAGTTTTACCATTTTCGACCCTCTAACCAATGGTATATGTTGTTGGAATCCTGTATTCGGAAAATATACAAAGAAATCGCTCATATGCTGTTCATTACACCACTTGTTTTTTTTTTAATTTTTTTAAGATATTTTCTATTTTCTTTACAATTATCTTAAATCTTTTCTATATAATCCTTTTTATCGTCTATGACCAGTTTTTATTTACTTATTGTTTATATCTTAATTTCATCCCTATTGCACTGTACGGTACATACATATGAACTTTGTATATATAATAGATTTAGAAATATTTATAAATAAATAATTTTAAATTCAAAATAATAAAAGAAGTATGTACAGTTATATTGAAAAATATGTACATATTCATAATACCATAAATTTTTATTTTCTGTCAAAAAAAAAATGTCACCTATTCAAAAATCTTCATTAATATAATACTTGTAACTTATCTGGTTTGGGTATTAATTGTTACAGGAAATTACTAGTTACAAAAGAAAAGTAAAATTTCGACTGATAAGCTTTAATTCAAAATAAAGCAGTAATCAATTCACAATATTCATCTTATATCTTTTCCCAATTAACAAACTTTCGAATATAAAATACATTCATTTAATTTTATGACTTCAATTTGACTTTAATTATTTACGTTTAATAATGATTTCTTAATAAGAAATGAATATCTTTAATGTTAAATAACATAATTAATTCTTCTTTTATCTATTTATTAAAATACACCATAAAAGGATATAATTTTATGATTCACTATTTTTCATAGTACTCACATTCAACTACATTTTAGAACTTGAGTTGTTTCCTTCTGTCAACGTTATCATAATTAATTTAAGCTTTATACAACCAAATTAATTAACTTTATTTATACAATATGATTGATGTTATATAAATTAGCTTCTATATTAAAATAATGTCGATAGTAAAATTAATCATAATATAATTTAACGTTTTGTAAATGGTGTAAACAATTCATTCATTGTATACCAAATAATATCGTATATGAATTGATATATCAATTAATTAATATCATAAATCTGTAAATGAAAAGAAAATTCTATATTTAGTAATCGTATATTTTAAAGCCATTTTGTTTTAACATAACATTTATTTCAATATTAAGTTTCTAACAGTTAGTCAATAATGATTTCTGAAATATTATAACAGCTTCAATTTATGCATAATAATAATATACATGCATATAATTATCAAAAAATTAAAGATATTTTCAAATATATAAAAGTAATCGTTCAAAATTATTGCATGGTGCAATATGATAATTTATAAATGCTGAGAATAGAATTCGTTTCCTCATTTCTTCATTATCAATATTACATACGAGTACATACATATATAATTCAACATTCTTTTCTTTATTAAAATTTTTCAATCTATAAAATTTACATATGTATTAAAATACTTCTTATTTTTCGTTATTATTATATGGAAATTCAAAATGCAATAAATTATGCAAATTTTCCTGTTAAAATAATTTATATTGATTTACAAATATACATGTATACAAAAAATCAATATACTGCAGTTATTTGATTATTTACTATTATTTACTTTTTTATATTTACTATTATTTACTTTTTCACATACTCTTTAAATCCTTCAAATTGATACTATTATTGTATAATATTCGTAATAAAACATCACACTATATTAATTAAATATGTATGTATGTTAATTTAAACAACTAAGTATGTAAACTGACAATTATGGTATTTGACTGTTCCGATTTTATTTGGTTCTCTTAAATTCTCTTAAATTTAATTACCGTCGGTAAAGTGAGGCCAATTCAACTTCAAAATGCGGTCCATCATTCTGCTTACATGAAAAAATCGATTGAGATTATTAAAATTTGAAAATTTTTTCATAGATAATATTCATATTATTTGTCAAAACAAAACAATCAATCGAAAGTTAGTTGAAAATGTCATTTCCTCTCGTAAGTAGGTAATGTAATAAACCCGAGCGGGCCATACTAATGCTCACATAGTACATATTTGCCCACACACCACAAAAATTTCCGAACGGTTGCCTTAAAGCAATAGTTTTCACCGTTATTTAAGATTCAAACCAATTTTAAAAATTAAATAATATGAAACTGTATAATCGAAATTTAAAAATCGAAAACAAACAATATAGTGTAAAAATATCAAAGTTCAATCATTATATTATTGGTATCAATTTAACCTACATTACTGCATACATTTCGATTCTTACAAATTCTTTATTAAGGAACAAGAATGACCAAAATTAATTGTAGAGTACATGTCTAATATTAAGGGTTTATATATGTGTATATATACACTTAATATGTGTATATATTTTATTAACAATTTTTTGTAAAAATCCTGTGTGTAATTGAATAAAAAATACACGAAACTACTTTGTTAATTTATACATAACAATAATTTATATAAATATACATAATATGTAAGTATAAATAACAAGAAAAATGATCATTATATATTTTTAACAACCTCCATAAAATTTATGCTAATTTTTATTAATATAATTTTCAAGTAGTTTTCTGTATTGCAAGGATAACAGCATGTCTTTCTCTTTCTCTTTAATTTTTTTTTCATTAAAAGCTTAATAGGTAATAAAAGTACATGTCATATAATATATAGATATATTAATATGTATATACATTTTATAAAACAATTACTGTATATATTTGTATATTTATTTGTATCGATACATTTTATCGATACGAGCTCACCTTTTTCGTATTTAACATTCAAGGAGTTTTTTTACAAATTTTTTGTCCAAAATAATATGTTGTATAAATATGTATATGTTTATTATGTGTACATGTATGTATATAACTACATTTATAAATAAATTTATCTAAAATATTCTCTTAAAACATATACATATACGTATATATATATACACATAGAGTATAACTTCAAGGATATTAATAAACAAAATCTAATATAATTCAAAACGGTTCAGTTACGTGCTACTTATACATATATAGCGTGCTCTATATTAATCTGCCTATATTATGAATATCCAAAAAGAAAAATAAGGAAAAAAGACGGAAATTATAGTATGGTAGACCTCTGAAAGGCGTAAACTATTATATTTTCTTACAAAATAAATTTGTATAATGTTAGTTTTCTTTAACTACCGTAATATTTTAAATAGATTTTACACAAATTTCATTTTATATTGTAAATACCAACAACTTTCTTATTAACTCTAATTTTAAGTGAATTATTATAGAACCAAGTACATATTAGATTTATTCCATTAAATTTTAAATTAATATTATATTACATACATAGATCTTAATTAATTTTACCAGCAAGTTAAAATATTTCATCATCACAATTCTTATAATGCAAAAATTATAAATAAAAATTTTTATTAATTAACAAAAATAATGAAATAACCTTAATTTGATTTATTCTATACCTTTAAAAATGAGTTGAAATTTGTCAAGAACGATTTTTAAAACTGTTAACAGTAGCTGTCAACGTCAAATTGGCTTATATTTTGTTTGTCAATTTTCCTGTAAATAAACGTCATAAGCTCCTTTAAAGTTATACAATAGCATTTGGGTTCGTCTGCTTTGGTTTTTATAATTTTTCTAGTAAATGTTACAAAATATGAACATGTGTGTTTAAAAATTTACATCTTCAATATTTAAAAAATCTATTTAACCCAATAAAACCAATAAACCATTAAGTAATGTTCATAAAAAACTAGAACAAATTACCTGTATTAGAAAGTTTTGACACGAGTTCGGGATCACCCTATGAACATATTATTTATAACAATCATTATTCACAGTTAAACGTAATAACAATAAACTAGAAAACAAGGTAGGTGTATGAGGTCACTATTATGCACCACTAACCTACTTAGGATACCAGGTTAAATAGTATTATGTATTTATACATTAACAAAAATAATTGATATTTCAAAGTTACTTTAGCCTTCTATAATATTTGAAACACAAATGTATTTACGTTTTATTAACTGAGTAACATTAATTTAAATAAAATGAAAGTTTTAACAGTATATCTGGTATGTTAAATCACCCTAAACAAAGAGCTTTTATTTTATTTTTTTTTTTCAAAACCTAATTTAACTTCAGCAAATTATGAAACTGTACATAAAATTTATACACAAATTACATATTAAATATAGCCTTGTATTTTACTTAATATACACCTATATTGTTTATATTCGCTCTTTGTTTATTATGCAATAGTATTAACATACGACAATTACGTACAAACAATTATTTTTCTTTTATTATTTTATTAATTATTTTTCCCAAATAAACCAAGAACAATTGAAAGATGTTTAAAAAAAATTTTAGTCGTTGAACGTAGATTTTACAGTTGAATTTGGGTTTGCATTTCTCACTGTTAGAAATAACAAGACGTATAAAGATTTATGAAATAACGTGTAGGTAACGTAGGTAACTCTTACCGATAAGCATATGAGCATAATAATTCAAACTCATGTTATACATATACATACTTATAGAGAATCTTATTATATTGATTAAATTTTTTTTATTTTTAATTAAAACAAAAATAATATAAAATATAAATTTAATAATTTTAGGACTGGAGGTGGCAGCATGTTGGGTGATGTTAACATATCCGCTATATTGGATTCCTTCAGTGTTAGTTATGATAAAAGAGTAAGACCCAATTATAGAGGTACGTAATTTTGCGTAAAAATATTATTATTATTTGATAATTAAAATGAAATATAAAATAAATGCTTTTAAATATATTGTAAAAACAGTTTTTTGGCTAAGGTTTGGGAATTAAGAATATAAATATTTTTTCACATAAAAAATAAATATACGAAATATTGTATTACAATATTACAATAAATTTTCAAATAATACGACGGAGAACTTTCATTTAGAATAATAAAACGAATATGTCGAAAATAATAAGGGTGACTTCTTTATGATTTATTATTATTATTTTGATTTGTCTGTCTTAATGAATATTAGTGTTTTTAGAGATAGATTTAATAAAATCTTGTTTTATGAAATATAATATCTTATATAATGTATAAATCAGGAAAATTTAATCAAATATAAAATCTTATAAAAAATCACATTAAGTGAATGAGTTATTTATCAACATATTTGACTTTAAAAAGCAAGTCAAAATATTAAATTTCTGTCAAAAATACAAAAGTAAATGTCGAAATACCTTTTTGAATATGCGCTAAGTTTGACAATTGAAATTAAATTTTTATTTAAAAATATCGTTATAAAAATTTTTTAGATTGATAACTCTAATAATATGTACCATAATTAAATCGACTAAAATATTTTATTAAATTAAATTTGTCAAAGATTGTCCATTTAAAATATTATACTTTCAAAAATTGACAGACATTTGCGTAGTATTTTATACACGTAACAATTTTAAGCTAAAGTCAGAGCAAGATCCGTATGTGAATATAGAATTTCAGCAAAAGTCATCTTTGACTATATTATTTTTCTTATCTTTAAAATATTATTTTTTTTTATAATATTTATTAATCATCTTATGAAAAAAGTTTTAAGGAATGCAAAAAGGCATCTATACATATAAACGTATATATGTATAAATGCTCTTATATTGATATATAACAATTTTTAGAAAAAAAATAAAACGAATGATATTTTATATTCATAAAAGTATAGTTTAAAAAAACATATTATATATATATGTATATATATATAAATATAATATATATACATACATATATATATATAAAATTATAATCTTAAAATAATATTTATTTTCGAAGCAAATATCCAAATATATTTTTTTAATATTTTTGATTTTTATGTTTGATGTTTTCATTTATGTTAATATTTTACATTAATATTTTTACTTATATAATATAAATTTAATATTAACTAAAATACCTCTATATATATAATATTTATTTTTACATAAATTTAATTATAAATATTTATGTATATGCATTTATACATATTATAAAATACATAATATATGTACAAATATGTTTTTGAAAATATTTAAATCAACGTATTTTGGTTAGATTATTTTTTATATATTATGAACGATTTTATATTATAAATTTAACTTCATATAATAAAGACGTTTTTGTTTAATTTTTTATTTTTTTAGAACAAAATTTTATTTTTAATAAATTTACGAAAAATTATTTTAATTTTATTTTTTGTAAATTACAATTATTTTTTTTACCCTTTAAATTGTAAATATACACATGACATTTGAAAAAAATATTAGCAAAATGAAAATTAATACTCAGGAAAGAATTACGAAATTATTAATATTAGGATGACGATATGAATGAAAAACAGAGCCCAGAAATGTTTTCTCAACAAATGGATCTCAAGCTATAGAGATTTTTATAAATGCAAATTTTCGCTATATATCACCATATACTGCGTTTATGCAAAGTTCTTATGTTTTGAAACAACCGGACAAATTAAATAACGCAGACGACAAGGCAAGATAGTTTCGGAAAGTAGATAAGACAAGATAGTTTCAGAAAGTATTATGAATATGACTCAAGTTATTAAAATGAATTAAAAATTTATTGTAATATAATTGTAATTGTAACTTAAAAATAGTTTATTGTGAATGTGACAGAAGAAAAATCACGACCGTACTGACTATGAATAAGTCATAAGCATTTAAAATAGAAAGGCAAAACGCTTCAGTTCAAACGTAAATTGTTATGTTCGAAAATTCGAAATTCAAGATATTGCATATAATAAGTTTTTTTAAAGCTTTTTATGCTTATACAATCAAAATATTCAATAATTTCAATAAAATTAAATTCATTTTGCTAATTTATAGAAATGAACAAAATTCTGGTTTGTTTTACCTTTAACTATTGTTATTTTTCATTTTCGAATTTTATTTAATTGTATATGTATTTTTTGGTTTTTTTTTTTTTTAATTAACAAAATACACAACTTACATAAATAATATTTTGTTAAGGAAAATTCGATAAAATGAAAAACTTAATAAAATTTTATACATATACTCTGTAATATATTTATATATAGAATGTGAATGAATATATTTAATTAAAAAATTAAAATTATAATAAAAAAAAGCAACGATATAAAAATTTATAAACATTTTTTTTTTAATAATAAACATATATATATACACAGTGTGTAATAAATATTTTAATATTTAATATATATATATATATATATAAATATATATAATTTTCTTTCTTTTGTTATTAATTTTTTTTTTTAATAATATTGTCTGCTAGTGTAGACTCCACTCCATGAAACTATTTTTGTCTATTATATCCGTGTTTCAGGACCTCCGGTTGAAGTTGGAGTCACCATGTATGTGCTATCGATCAGCTCGCTGTCAGAAGTCAAAATGGTACAAATAAGACCATGTACCTTTTTTTTGATTTTTTTTCTTTTATTTTTTTTTCCAAATATAAATACTTTAAAAAATATTTTTATAATTTTACATAGTAATCTTATTTTAAAAATATACAATTAATATTTTAATTTTAATTCTAATTTATATTTTTATGTTTGAAAAAAGAAATTAATATAAATATTTAAAAAAAAAAATATTTTAATAATTATTTTTCCTATATATTCTAAAATTTTAAGAATTTTAATTTTGTTTGTTTTTTTATTTTTTCATTTGGTTTGTCTTTTTGATTCTGTATGCGTTTTTTGATAATTAAACTTTTTACTTAAATTCTTATTTTTTTTTTTTTTTGAATTATGTGATCGTCTGAATGACTCCTATTAGTTTAATGTATACCTAATATTATAATATTCGTTTGTTTTTTTTGTTTTTCGAAAGTATATACTTATATATTCCAATAATTTATTGCTTAAACTGTTACGTTTCAATTATATTAAAATAAAAACTTAATAAAATATATTTTTTTTATACATAATCTGTTCATATTGTTTTTTCTTAGCTTAAAACTTTGTTTAAAAAAAAAAAACAAAAAAAAAACATTAAAAATTCAAATATATTTTTTAATTTTTTTATTTTTCTCTTTAACTCAAATATATATTTACAATTTAAAAACATTAATTAGTTTTTTCTTGTTTTTTCAACATTATATTTTAAAAATTCTAAGAAACTAAACAATTTGTATAACAATATATAATAAGTTCATTGATTGATTAGTAAAAGTTTTCATCATGAATCTTATAATGTCCATTTTTTCTAACTTATCTTATCGGATTAATACATAAATTCTATAAAGTAAAGAGTATGCATTCCCTTTATATAACATTTTCATAATTATTTTTATTATAATTAAATAAAAATATAAATTAAGTTTGTCTTTTAAGAATAGAACAACAGAAAAGTAAAACAGATACTTTTCTATAACATCAATTTCAAATATTAAAAATAATTAATTTTTATTTAAAATGCATTTACATACATTTCACACTTATTGAAAATATATTATGTGAGTATAACATATAGTTTCGATTGAATTTTAATTTCAAAATTTCAATTGAGTTTATATTTGCAGAAAAATATTTTTAGTTAGCAAACCATAATTCCCAACTTTTCCATATACTTGTTATAAATTTGTCATTTCAATAACCTCAATTATTTCAATAAGGTCTCAGCTTTCAATTTAAGTATAATATAATCTTATTTGGATAACAAGCAAAAATAATTGTTTTGTAAAATCTTAATTTAATCATTTCAAGCAAGTCATCATATATTTTATTTTATCCTATTTTATCCTATTTATTAAATTATATATATATATATATATAATTTAATTTTTTTTCTAATAAAATTTTCAAAAATAAAAGTTTTACTTAAATATAAATAGATGGAAATCATATATATAACAATATTCTTATCTTTCAAAATAATTTTGAATTTAATAATAAAATTCAAACTATAATTCTAAATTTTATTCAAATCTCTTATACATTTAATTTTATATAAATAAAAGCGATAACCATTATACATATAATAATATAAAAATGTTTCTATATTATACTATCAAAAACGCACATTTCAATATTGCATTTTTCACAATCCCTTTTTACATATTATTATATGAAAATAAGTTTAATATAACGAAATATATTCAATCCATATATATATATACTTTACTATATTTCTCCTATATACCATGTTTCTATTATATACTCTTAGACGTATAATATATATATATAATGAAATTTTTGTTTTCATAAACATAATGTTTAAATAAACTAAATTTTTTTTATCATATAATTGTGTACCGTGGTTTAAAAACTGCTGTAATATTAAAGCTTATTCTGAATATCGAATCACTAACTGATAGCGATATTAAATCGTAAGAGCTTCAAAAGCTTTAATATAGACACAAATGATTTGTATGAACAGATTTGGGTTTACAATTATAATATTGAACTTTTTACAATAATTATTACTATCACTTAGTGATTCAATATTCGATAATTAGAATAAGCCTCATTGTTTTGATATTAAATTCAATAATTTAACTCATATAAACTGAATTATTTATTTATACAATATTACTGCAATTTTGAAAACAGGACAATACTTCTTATATAGATATAATACATATTAAATATTTCTATATACCATTTCCTAAATTTTCATGTTATATACATACTTATATAGAGTTAAAATTTTATCATAAAACATATACTCGTAACAATTTTTATGAATATTTTTTTTTGCAATTTTTGTTTTATACATATTTGATCTTTAACAACGTAACTTTTTTATTCATTTCAAAAAACACAAAAAAAATATATATAATAATTTAAAATACATAGTTTAAATATTCTGCATCGTGCTGTAAGTTTTTTTATATATTTTATATAATATTTAATTTTGCTAAAAAGTATACTTAAGTTTACATATACATATTAAAAAAAATATATTTTAGCAAAAGGTACACATACATTAAATTTTGCGTTTTTTTACTTTTTATAATTTACAATTAAAGAAATACGATAAAGGAAATCTATGAAAAAAAAAATTTCAAAAGAAATAAATTTTGTACACTTGATATTTTTTATACATTTTATAATTGAATAATATAATTAATATAAGTGAGTACCAAATCAAAACATTTAAACACTATAATATACTCTTAAAAACCCATATATTTATTATAATTTATTTTGCAAAATTTGTTATTATATATACCTATTTATTATATTTAATTATTATTATTTAATTATTAATAATTAATTTAATTAAACATTTATTATTACTATATTTTTATTAACATATATTTATATAATATTTAATAAAAATCTTAATATTTGCGTTAATTCTTTTCTTAAATTTTCTCGTATATATACAAATTTATATATAATTCAAATAATTTCCTATAAGGAGGTTTAAAAAGGTTTTTGCTATTTTATAATTTTATCTTTTTTTTCAATTATTTTACATACTATATATTATAGTATATATAATGTATAGCAAATATATAATAATACAATTTCATGGTTTAATAAAAAAGTACAAATATCTTTATATAAAATTAATATACAAACAAAAACATTACAATATTGTAGTTATTCACCCCTTTTGGGGAAAAAAGTCGCAATTTATTTTTATTTTCCAATTTTAGTTCTTATAGTTTTAATTTTCATTTAATTTTTTACATTATATATACAAAGGGGATTAAGTTAATGGAGACGACTTTTAATTTATTTTATACAAAAAAAAAATTGAATCATTTAAATATTTGACCATAAAATTGTGTATACAACATAATATAATAAAATTAGACAAAGAAAATTAACATTATATGTTATATACTAAATATCTTATAAATAATATCTTTTATACATATATACATACATTTATATAAAATATATATAAAATAATATAAGTACAATATCTTTATGTATGCTCTTTTTTTTAATTCTCTTTGTTTGTTTTTGTTATAAAAACAAATTTTACAAAGTTGATTTGGTTTTCATTCATGATGCACCCTTCAGAAAATTTTGTCCAAAATGAAAATATTATGGAAAATTGATCTAAAAATAAAAGAAAGAATTAAAAAAATAATATCAGAACCAGACTGTATAATTTATTTTATTATAAAAAAAAAAGGATTTGGAATAAAAAATTTAAAGCAAAATATCAAAATAAATTACCAAAAACGAACCATCAGAGAAATTCAATATACTTATACCTTTATATAATGTATTGTATATGCATTGTGTATACGTTATTCTTGTTCTTATTTTCTATATATATATTTCCTATTTATATTATGTTATATTAATATTTAATATAAAGAATAAATACAAAAAAAAAATTAAAACAAAAAAATTAAATTAAAAAAAAACAAAACCAAAAAAAAAAAATTATAAAACTTAGAGAACTATCATACAAATATGTTGCAGGTCCCCCAGTGGAAGTTGGCGTAACAATGTATGTCCTCAGTATCAGTTCGGTTTCGGAAGTTCTCATGGTACATAAAATATTAAAAACAAAAAAAAATTAATATATTATTTGTTCTTTTCATTTTGTTTTTCAATTGTATTATTTTTCATTTAGACATTTCTTTATATTTCTTCAATTAAATTTTTAAATTAAAAATTATTTAAATTTCAAATGAAATAAAAAATTTTTTATTTTTCAAATTTTTAGTTTAACATTTCTTAATTTTTTTTTTAATTCATTTTTAACAAAAAAATAAGTAAAAAAATAAATTGAAGATTGATTTCAACTACTTATATTTTGCAATTATTTCTTAAAAGTTGTTTTTAATAAACATAAGTTTCAAACTTAAAGTACATATTTAAAAGAAAAAATAAACAGAAAAATCATTTTATTTTAATATTTTATATGATGGACTGAGTATCGGATCACTAAATAATAATGATATTCATCGCAAAAGTTGCAAAAACTTTTTTATAAACACAAATCATTTGCAAGAATATGTTTGTATTTACAATAATAATATCGAATCTTTTACGATAATTATTATTATTATTTAATGATCCGATACTCAGAATAAACCCCAATATTGAAAACATACATAATATTGTAAAATTACTATTTACGTTATATTAAAACAAAACTACAACCGCGTTACATAATTGGATTTTAATATTAAAGTTTGAAACTTAAAACTCGAACAACTCCAAATATCATTTCCATATAAGCATAAATTTACGTGCAAAACAAAAAAATACACTGCAAAAATGTTTGCGTGCAAAAAATTATGAACTTTATGGGATGATATTAGTAAAAAAATTTGCTTTTTCATTATCTATATATATATATATATACATTTATATTTTAAATAAAACAAAATTTCAAAAAAATTACCTCTAAATGTTGTTTTCTTAAAAAAAAATATCAAATAAATCTGTTTTTATTTCGTATATATTAATTTTAGTTTTTGTTGGTTTTTCCATTTTGATCAGAAATTTTCATATATAATTTTTGGTTTAATCATTCCAATACTAATCTTATTCATAAATTTTATTAAAAATGTGATTATTATTTTATTTTTTTATCCAATTTGAACAAAATTTTCTTGCATCCCATTTTTTCAATTCATTTGATAATTGAATATATAAAAAAGAAGAGCCATTTTTTGTTTTATAATTTTTTATTCATCACAGTCTTTGTTGCAAAAGTATATCTAAAACAAAAAGAACAAAATTATAAAATATAAAATCAAAAATTTACTTAAATTTAACGTAATAATAATATAAAACTATTTTTTGTAAATGTTTTTTTTTAATAAAAATTTACCTACATAATTTTTTTTTTTTGTTATACCACAAATGAAACAAAAAAACATATTTTTTTAAACGGCTTTTGCGGTACATACATTCGCTGTGCTCACATAAGTAAAATTATTTGCATTGTACTTTCTATATACTTCAATATTTTGTATAATGTAAATAAATTTTTCATAAATCTGCGGTTATATACATTTTTTATTTGATTTTATCCACCCTCTAACATCATGTTAAACTTCTCAAAAAAGTAATAATTTAATTCCCAACTTTAATAAGTTCGCGTTAATTTTATAATTTCAATTGGCTTGACATTTAGCTATTATGAGTGACGTATTAGAAATACATAGTGATGTGAACTATCATATAAAAACTGTCAGTTTATTAGTAATTTTTTCTACTACTTTTTTCATTCTCTACTTTTTCCACATGAACTATCGAAGAACAAGTAATTTTTTTGAGATAATACTTTCTTATAAATATGTAATACACATGTAGCTCTTGTAAAAGAATTTTTTGTAGCAGATATTTTAGTAAGATTTTCTCTGAAAATTTTACGTTTAGTATAAATGGAGTAAGGTAGTATTTGTATGATCAAAGTTAAAATCGCATTGCTTTTCCACTGAGTCCGTCCGTGGACATGTTTACAAAACTTCTACACTTCTGCTCAAAGTCCTAAATATGTAATTTTTCACGTAATTATATTAGCAAATCAGAAGTGTCTCTTAAATTCTATACAAACGCCAAAAAGCAGTGGGTTCCTCTGCCGCGGCATAGCATATTTGAACTTTAAAAAAATAAAATGGTCGTTAAAATTTACCGTTAACGTTAAATTTAAAGTAACCGTCTTTCCAAATTTTTGATGTCAAATTTTAAACGACTTTTAACATAAATAGTTCATTTCAGTAGAAGAACATTTTTTTACCCCTCCACCTCCTTTTAAGTTATCGCCTTTCGAACTTTTTAAAATTTGATGTTTTCGCAACTTATATTTTCGAAACTGTACGCCTTTTCAAATTTCTATAAATGCAGAAAGCTAAAAAATATAATTATTTTTTTTTTAATTCATGCAATTAAACTTTGAAATCGAACATTATGTTGACTCCTTTTGAATTTTTTTTTTTGGCTTTATTTCAAAGACTTGATAAATTGTTCATCCTAAATGTACGCAATCCTTAAAATGGTTTCGTATGCGAATGAAAGTAATTTGAATAATATAGTGTAGGTATAGATACATAGATTGTTTTAAAAGCAGTATTTCTATTATGCTTGAAGAGAAAAGTACTACTTTACAAACCATTGTTTTGAATAATTTTAATTTAATTTTTTTTCTTAATATCCTGTTGCCGTTTCATGTAAATTGCGGTGAAAAATTACATTATATTAAGAAATATTGTAAAATGTAAACCACTTTCATTCAAAAATTATTGAAAGTTTAACATAGTTAGGGCGTGTTTTATATATTAACAATTATTAAAAAAACAAAAAAAAATATGTTTTTTTGGTATTTTTTTTTTATTTAAAAAAAATAAAATGTTCAAGTTTGTTCATTAAAAATGAAACAAAACAAACAAATATAAAACAACATTAAATTTTACACAATACAAATATATGAAGCAGTCCTGAATACTAAGACTGCGCGCATGGTAATTTAATTTACTTCATAAAATACAAATATAAAAAAGGAGTACCTAATTAATTTTTTTTTTATATTAAATGCCAGGCATAAAAATATGACATTTTCATATACAATATTCTAATTATAAAAATTTAAAAAAAAACTATTGAATTTAAATAACACGCTATTAATATTGTATAATTATATAAATAGAATGTTCTCAGTGTATATTTATTCTTGTATAAAATCTTATTATGTGTGTTCGTAAACAAATATATTAATATATTTATATAATATTTAAATGAATTAAAATTTATTTATATATGCATATATACATTTATACATATAAATATATACATATATAAATTTTTAAATAATTTATGTAGCATTCGTGAAGCCGATAAGTTTCGAATATTCTAAAATAAGCGGATTTTTTATACGATATTTTTATGAATTTATTAAAATTCTTAAATTTTTAATCAAATATTTATTAATAATGATTTTTATATCAATTATTTTACGTCATAAAATATCATAACCTTTCTCTTCTTTTTTAATTAGACAAATAGTTTTTATTTGACAGATTCTGTCAAAATTTTCAAATTAATTTAATGCGATGCTACATAAGTTTTCATATATTTATTCATACATATGCATAATATATAAGAATTGAAAAAATAAATTTGTTTTAAATTTGCCATCTTATTACAAAATATATTATTATGTTATACAGTATATACATAATATGTGTGTAAAGTTTATTTGAGTATAATATTTATATATTATAATAAAACAATTTTAACAAATTTTTTGTGTACCTTAATTTTTTTTTTTCATTTTATTTTTGGCAAAAACTGGTTATATAATTAGGTTGTTTGAAATATCAAATGGATTTTATATATGTATATATATATACAATATTGATTATATATAATTAAAATTTTTACGTTTTGCAAAAATTTTTACTGTACACTTGTAAGGAGATAATATCATTCTTTATACATAAATTATTTAAAATGTGACAATAGCGCCTTTTTTAATATTTTTTTCATCTTTCTTTCTTTTTTCAACTTTTATTCCAACATCTTATATTGGCTTTGTGTCTATCTTAAAAATTATATACTATATGTACATATATAATTTAATAATTTTTTGAACTTATAATAATTATTATAGAACAATCTATATAATCTTCCCTAAAAGTCAATGAAGATTTTAATATACACATACATACTAATAAAAATATTAACTTTTTTTATGCTATTTGATATATACTCGTAAAATATGTAATTGTATATATAAAGCAAATAATATTTACATAATTAAAAGAAATACACAATACAAATAAAAAGAAGCAATATGTTTGTAATATTATCAGATTATATACTAAAATTAAAATTATAGTTAACGAAAATTGAAAAACTGGTACAAAACGTATATAACAAAACTGGCACACTTTTTGATATCTTTTAGATTCACTTAAAGTGAAAATCATTTCAGAATATATTTGATTCTGAGTGCAAGACGCGCTCATTTCTCTCATGAAAGTTCATCACCTCATCTGAAAGTGTTGAACCTATTTTTTTTATTTTATTCCATTTCAAAATTTAAAATAAAATTTTACGTCACTTTCTTGAAGTATAAAATGATATTTTCAAAAAAATCTGTACTTAAGTTGAAATTGATTCAACTTTTTCAGAGAGAGAGACAAACTGCTGTAAAAATATAGGAAATAAGAGAAAATCAAATTTTCATACAAAATATATGCGCGCGCATTACTTTGATATACTTGAGACGAACCAATGCATTCACCTTAAACTAAACATACATTATACATATATACAAATTTTGATTTTAAATATATGAAATTAATAAAATTTTTCTATATATCAGTTAGTTATAACATATTTATTTATATGTAGTAATTATTAAATGAATAACACTTTTGCAACAATTTTTTTTTGCAAATTTCTTGTAAACGTCAAAGTTAATTGCAACTACTTAAGCATTTGCGTTTTATCCCATGCTATTTACAAGAGTGTGCTTTCTTCATATAAAATTTTCCATTTTATATACCGTAAAATTTATTTTAGGTAAATTCGCAATATATGCGAGTAGATACACATACTGCTTCCCAAAAATATTAAAAATATAAGTAAATAATGACATATATAATATTATATAATATAATTGATGTAAATAACAAGTCATAAAAACAATAAACAATAATTCAGAACACAATTTAACAAAATTATTTTTTGCATAGTCACGCAAAAACGAAAAAATACCAGTTAAAAAAACTTTCAATTAATAAACAAAATTTAAATAATAAATAAGCACTCAATATAAATATTAATTATTAATAATATATTTATGCAAACTTTAAAAACTTAAATCTTTACCAATAATTAAAAATCAAATTCCTTTCACCCAAAGCAAATAAGGAATTTTCATTATTTAATTAAAAATTTAATAAAAATAATCCAATTACGCTTCTACAATAAAATAAAAATTCAAAAATCACGAAATTCAAATAAAATTTTTTGCACTGAACAATCTTATGGGTAGCGCAATATGGCACACACATTTTACATCAATCAAACATAGTGTATACATCCGTTTGCAAAGTAAAAGAAATTTTCAGAAATCGATTAATTAATCATCGATAACGAAAACTCTTCAATGGTATACTCAAAATTTTTAATTTTGTTTTAAAATCATTTAAAAATAAACTATATTTTTTATGTCATCATTCATCACCAGCCATATATTCAAGTACATTACAATATATACATACATTAAAATTTTCGATTATTATTTAAATCATTTTTGCATCTCAAAGTATAATTTATTCGAATTCCAATTACGATATGAATGTATATATGTATGTTGTACATTTATAATTTTATTATATATGTATAACTAACACATATGAAACAAAATAATTTTATCAATACTTCAGATAATTTCAATGTTATGTTCCAATAAATTGTCATGTTCAATTGACAATTAGTAATTTAAACAAATTTTCTGAAAAGTAGTGGCGCTCAAAATTATTAATATAATATATACAACTGCGTTACTGATTTAATAATTTATTTAAACCTGTATATTTACTTCAAATTTAATTATTTTAAATTCGATAT